TATATATATACTTATGTGTGTGTGTGTGTATACATATATATATATATATATATATATATATATATATATATATATATATATATATATATATATATATATATGTATATATATGTATATATATATATGCATGTATATATGTACATATGCATGCACATATGCATATATATATATATATATATATATATATATATATATATATATATATATATATATATATATATATATGTGTGTGTGTGTGTGTGTGTGTGTGTGTGTGTGTGTGTGTGTGTGTGTGTGTGTGTGTGTGTGTATGTGTGAATATTTACATATATATATAATCTTTTCATATTTATAACACATTCATGAAATATAATCTCTATCTCTTTGATATCTGCTTCCTTCTGCGGCGCACGAAAAGTATTCCCGCTTCTCTTCCGCCCTTTCTCGCCCCCCTTACTCCCTTCCACTGACCTCCGCGCCCTTTTCCCTCGTGGAGGCGGTTCGGTTCGAGCCCCAGGGAGCCCGAGACGGCCAGGCCTTCGGGAGGCGCCTCAGCATGGCCAAGCACTCCTCGAAGGCGGCCAAGTGGGCCAGCGAAATGGAGGAGCTGTCCCTCCCGCCCGTCAACCTCTCTTGCGTCGAGGAGACCCTGAGGGCGAGGAGGCTGGAGGTTGAGGACCGATGCCGGAGGACCCTGTCGGAGGAGGACCTCGCCCGCCCCCCCAACAGCAAGGAGTTCCTCATCAGCGGCCGCTTCAACCTCGTGTGGTGCAACGTGTTCAAGGCCGCCTCTTCCACGTGGCTCTACAATTTCCTCCTGATGGCGGGCTTCACCGAGAAGGACCTGCGGAAGTCGAGCTCCTCCCCGGTCGAACTGGCCCGGCGGGAGGCCTACGCCCGGCCCTCGAACGACGAACTCTGGGCGGCGATGGAGACCCCCGGCGCAACGTCCTTCCTGATCGTCCGCGACCCCTTTGAGCGCCTCCTCTCCGCCTACAGGGACAAGATCGAGTCCACGAAGCAGAAGTACTACAGGTAAGCGGTGCCGGCCGTGGCTCAGGTGGTTCGTGATCCGGGTCGTTGAGGAATCGGGTGGGATGTGGCTGAATAGATTTAGTCGCGGAGACAGGAGCGGGGCCGAAATTTAAAGCGGCGTTTGGTGTCATATTCTTTTCGGTGGATGAAGCATGTCCATACGTACGTACGTGTGTGTGTGTGTGTGTGTGTGTGTGTGTGTGTGTGTGTGTGTGTGTGTGTGTGTGTGTGTGTGTGTGTGTGTGTGTGTGTGTGTGTGTGTGCGGGTGTCTATTGATATTAACGTGTTTGTGTTAAATATACTCTGTGGTCCATAACCTGTCTTTCTAATTATCATGTGTGTGTGTGTATCTAAGTGCGTATGAATATATCCATATATATACTGCTTTTTTTATTATGACCTACATATGTTACAACTGAAAAACAGAAAATACCAAACAAATTCAACTGACATTGTAGCAAAAGTTAAATACAATTACATCTCGCAAGTATTGTAAAGAGGAGTCACTGCTACCACATATTTCATTAACGTATGGGATCGTAGTGTGTAGAAGGGAAGGATGATAAGCGTAGAAGACAAGTGTAGGGAAAGGAGCGAAAGGGTGTAAGTGCAGTATGTGTGTGCGGTGTATATGTGGCGCGAGAATAAAGGTCGGTAAGTGTGATAAGAGCCGAGGAGAGGCGTGTGTGTTTAACGCAATTAAGCAGAGAATCACCTTGTTTAAAATAAAGGAAAAAAAAAAAGCTATCACTGGAACTAAGTTGCCATTCAGTAGGGATAGTTAGTGTTGTCTTATCAGTAATCGCACAGATTCCTTTTTTTTAAGTTCGGGCGTTGATAAAGATAAGCTTACATAAAATAGTTCACCACGACAATAAAACACATGAAACAAACGATAAAACAAACGCAAACAAACACGAATAAAACAAAAACACAAAGACAATTAAAATGAACGGTAGTACAAAAAGGAACTTAAAACATTAAAATGCAAACGATGAAACATAAAATAGTACATTTAATTAAACCGATAAAACCATGCAATGAAGATAAGACAAGAACGATAAAACTGAAGTAGAACACTGGATAAAACGAACACAAAATGAGACAATACAATGAAGATAAAACCTGAACGATCAAAATGAAAAATTAAATAGGACATTGGATAAAAAAAAAGACGAATAAAAGCCCACAGATAAAAAAAAAAAAAAAAAATGGTCACTTTAGGTCACTTTAGCCGAACAAATACCTCACAAATTATTTCTTACAGTCCCATGACCACTTAACTAAGCCCAAACCGTAGGAGTGGCGCGTGTGCGGGCATCCTCCTCGAGATAAACACGGTTTTACTGGGGCCTGGAGGTGATGTTAGGGGAAGCAAAGTATATAAAGAGGAATCACTGCCACATGATACTGTAGAAGACAAGTGTAGGGAGAGAATAAAGAATGGTAAGTGTGATATGAACCACGGAGAGGCGTGTGTGTATA